CGCCGCAGCCCGCCAGGCTCGCGCGGGAGAGAAGGGAGGAGAAACTTTGGCTTTTATTGTTTTTAGTCTTTAAGTGCAAGGATCTGTGTGTTGGGAGGAAGAATGTCCTTCTTCAATTTCCGTAAGATATTCAAGTTGGGGAGCGAGAAGAAGAAGAAACAGTACGAACATGTGAAGAGGGACCTGAACCCCGAGGAGTTTTGGGAAATTATAGGAGAACTGGGCGACGGAGCCTTTGGGAAAGTGTACAAGGTAAGGAGGAGAAAACGGGAAGTCGCACTGGGAGGATAAAACGGCCACTGGCCCGGAGTGGCAGGAGGACTTCTCGCTCCCCTTGTCCCTTTCCTGTTTTTTGCCTCTTCTTTTGACTTTGTAATCTTCTGTTGGAACTTTATTTAGCTTATCCAAGGAGTAGCGAAGACAGTAGGGGTTGCAGTTGAATAAAATGGGGCCTGGATGTATCGTAAAGAATGACTGCTGAAGAGAGGCAAGTTATACAGTCTCTTCGGTGAAACTTCAAAGGAAATGAGAGTGTTCTTTAAATTATAGGAGGGGTCTGGTTGTGGCCCTCAAGTATCTAGAAATAGGAAACTCATTACACTTTTCTGTGGATTTATGTTTGTCTACTAATTTTACTAAAACAGTTGCTTTTTTAAAGGGTCCAGAGCATATATTTGGTTGTATCTATGCCTAATACCTAACCAGTATCTTGGGATCAGAGCAAAGTGATTGCAACTTGGAGCCAATTCTTGAGTTGGTTGCTTGACAACGTACTGTAGAATGGAATGGAATTTCTGATAGAAAATTTCCAGAGGAAAACCTGCATCTGGTACTAGTTTCTAAATATAATTGCAGTAAGCATTGACTAGAAGTCAATGCCAGCGCTGAAGAAAAAAAATACACATTTATTTATTTATTTCAGTAGAAAAAGGCTTGGTGTCTCAACCTGAAGGCATTAATGTTAACTATTTGCTATCTCCTAAGGAGCATATGAATGATGTCTCAGAGTATTTTCATCCTGAAGGGTGAGGTTTTTATGAGTTTCAGTTTAGGGGAAGGACCCACAGGGTTGCCTAGAAGTGAAAACATAAATAACTTATGTTTGTATAGGAGTTTGCAGTTTTTAAGCATTTTTACATAATTTGGCCCCCACAAAAATCCTGTGAGGTAGGCAGGTCAGTTAGGAGTATCCACATTTCACAGATGAGAACGCTGAGACTCAAAAATTGCTCATAGTCACACGAGTCACAGCCTCGACTTGCATTCAGGTCTTCTGACCTTATATTTAGTGATGTTTTTTACTGTAACATCCTTTGGTAGAAATGATAGCATTTTTCTACTTTCTCAGTACTATTATTACATTTCTGCCTTTGCCCTGCCTCAAATGCATCTTGTTAAAACCCCAATCCTCGTGCTTTACCCTGGCTGAAATATCCATTCCTCTCTGTGAGCTTTCAAAACACATTGTTCACATGGCTACTATAGTACTTATCACATATTATAGTTAATGTGTTCATGTTTTTCTAATAAAATTGGGGACCAGAATTATAATATACAGTTGGGTTCATCCGTTGCCTTAGCCCGTAGTGCATCTCTATGTATTTGTTGAAATGAAAGAATGTACTGGCTACTATAGTACTTATCACATATTATAGTTAATGTGTTCATGTTTTTCTAATAAAATTGAGGACCAGAATTATAATATACAGTTGGGTTCATCCGTTGCCTTAGCCCGTAGTGCATCTCTATGTATTTGTTGAAATGAAAGAATGTATGTTACCTACATATGAAAGCTATTGAAGCTGTCATATGCTGTGAAAGTTGGCAAAGTAAACTTCAGTGTTTGTGTGGAGGCTTGAGTGTGGATTTTCAGAAAGAGTTTACAATATAAGATGTATGGTACGGGCCTTTAGTGTATTGGGAAGATCACTCTTGGGAATCAAGAGTTGTTTTAGTACTGGCTGTCACAAACCAGCTTTTTGGTCTTGGACAGAACACTTAACTTCTCTGGATCTCTGCTTTCTTAGCTGTAAAATCATAGATTTCCCTAAATGTTTGCTTATTAAGATTCCTTCACCCATTAGCCTTCTGAGAGTACAGAGTTAACTAGGAAAGACAAAAATCCTCAAAGCATCTGGGACCTCGTACTTAGAAGGCTGTAGGTGATTATAGGCAGTTTTTATGTTGTAACTCCGTTTTATCGAATACGAACAGCGTAGTATTAAGAGCACTGGCTTTGGAGTCTGAATATATCTCGGCTCCCTCACTGAAAGGTGGTGTGTGACCTTGGGCAAGTTACTTTTTCCTTCTGTGCCTGACTCTCCTTATTAGTAAGACCTACTCCTCAGTATGTGAGGATTAAAGGAGATAATAAATATAAGGAACATAGAAAGGGCTCAGTAAATAGTAGAAATTACTCTTATTACATTTAGACCTCATAGAAGCAAATATGGGATGGGACAGGAAAAGAGACTAAGATAGTAAGCCATTTTCTTGGTTTCTTATGGCACAGACAGATTATGTGGAGATATTAAGACTGTAGTTTAATTCTTTAGTGATGCTTTCTGCAAAGTGTAAAGTATCTTCCTATAATGAGACATCAATTAAAAATTTTCTGAAAAATAAGAGACTTACTCTATGTAGTTGAACACTATAAAATTGTGTCAAGGATGATTTCTGTGGGCTTGATGACTGTTTTAGTATATTTGAAGAGCATGGATTCTTTGCATCTTTTTCATTTCACTACTGTATGCTTTCTAAGCAATACGAAGTTTTTTAGAAAAGAAAATTTAAAATTTAAACTGTTTTGGCCTCTTGTTCCTAAGTTTCTGTTTTTCAAGATTCCCTAGAATTCGTGAATTTATAAACATGGAGGAAAAAGATGTAAAACCTTAACATTGTTGTAGTAGTCCATTTTGTGTTGCTATAATGGAACACCTGAGACTGGGTAATTTATAAAGAAGAGAGGTTTATTTTAGCCTACGATTCTGGGCCAGCTGCATCTGGTGCAGGCCTCAGGCTGCTTCTACTCACTGTGGAAAGGCGGAAAATGGCAGCAGATGGCAGGTACAAGCAGATCATGGGGCAAGAGGAAGCAAGAGACAGAGAGAGGAGGTGCCAGAGTCTTTTAAACAACCAGCTATCACGGGAAATAATAGAGCGAGATCTCACTCAGGACCCTCACCCCCCAGGAAGAGCATTAATCCATTCATGAGGGATCCACCCCCATGACTCAAACAGCTTCCAACACTCTCACATTGGGGATGAGATTTCCACGTGAGTTTTGGGGGGACAACACATCCAAACTCTATCAATTGTATTCATTAGTATGTAGTAGAAAATTATTTCTATACTTGATTCTAGCTATTATTTGCTTATGGAAATTGGTAACTGTTACAAAGATTAAATTGTAAATAATCGTGTTGTATATCTAGTTTATTTGAATCATTTTTCCATCATATAGTTGTATTTCTTCCACTCATTCCAGCACTGTACAACTCTAACAAAGTTACTTCCTTGCCTGAAAAATCTTCACTATTTTAAATTTATTTTCTCTTTTTAATATAGTATTATTTGACATAAAAGAAGATATGTAATATCCTGCACATTTTTTTATCTTTGGATTTCTCTTGTTCTTAACAAAAAAAAAGAATGACATAAAATTATGAATTGAATTGCATTTCTAGAAAGCTGTTTTATCTCTTAAACCAGTTGAAGCTGAGTTTCTGGCTGTGTGCTGGGTGAAGGTGATTGTTTTATGACAACTGATGGATGTGTGCCTAAAAAAATAGTGAAATATATAATGTTTCTATTTGAAAGTACAGAAACATATGTATGTTTAGCAAATAATAAAGTGAATTCCTATTAATAGTCATTAGGCTTGAGGAATTCTGCCAGCACCCTAGAATCCCTCCTGCCTCCTTTCTGAATCTCGTCCTTTCTTTTCCCCTAAAGGAAACTACTATCCTATCTTTTTTTTTTTTGAGACTGGCTGCACTGCGCTCAGCCAGTGAGTGCAGCACCAGCCATCCCTATATAGGATCCGAACCCTCGGCGGGAGTCAAGTGCTGCACTCTCCTGAGTGCGCCACGGGCTAGGCCCTATCCTATCTTTAAGTTACTAATTTATTTGCTTTTCTTTATAGTTTATCATCCAGGTGCGTATATCTAAACATTATAAATTTAGTTTTGTATGCACTTGAACTTTATGTGAAAGGAATCATATTGAGTGTATTCATTTGTTTCTTGACTCTTTCAAAATCGGCATTGTTTGTGAGATTCTTTTTTATCACCTGGAACTGTAGTTAGTTCATTTTGTTGTGGCATAGTGGTCCGTTATATGATATATCACCAACTGTACTAATGAATATATTAGTTGTTTCCAGTTTTTGGCTGTTACATATATGGTGCACTTATGCATGAGTTATCACTAAGACTTAACCCAGGAATGGAATTGCTGGGTTGTAGGGTACTTTATCTTTAATTTTATTTGATGATGCCAAACTAATTATACCAATTTACATTCCCACCAGCAGTGTATGAGGATTTCCTTCCTCTACATCCTTGCCAACATTTGATATTGTTAGAAATTTTAAGTTGTGACAATCTGATGGTGTCTTATGTTTTTCACTGTGGTTTTAATTCACCTTTCTCGGATTACTAATAATTCTTTTCATATGTTTATTGGTAATTTGGATTTTTTCTTTTGTGTTCAAGTCTCTTATTCATTTCCCTACTGATGTTTTTTTCTTATTTGTTGAGTACTATATATGAGCGTACTTCAGAGTGGAAAAATAGACTTGAAAGATAATACAAATCTTTCCATGAACTTTTTGAAATACTCTGGTATATGTGTATATGTATTTTGGATTCTTACCATTTGCTCGTGATAGTTATTGCAAATATATTCTCATTCTGTGGCTTGTCTTTTCATTCTCATTATAGTGTCTTTTTATGAATAAAATTCTTGAATTTAATGTAATCCAATTTATCAGTTTTTTCCTTTGCAGTTAATGCTTTTTGTGTTATGTTTAAAACATTCTTTCCTAACCTGAAATCATGAAGATAATCTTTTATATTACCTTTTAAAAGCCATATGATTTTTTTTTTTTTGTCCTTTTTGAGACCGGCTGCACCGCGCTCAGCCAGTGAGCGCTGTGAGTGCACCGGTCATCCCCATATAGGATCCAAACCTGCGGCGGGAGCGCTGCTGCGCTCCCAGTGCTGCACTCTCCCGAGTGCGCCACGGGCTCG